ATAGGTGAAATCAATATACATGCGTACAATTTCAATTAATCAATACAATGATGTAACTATTTTAATTAAAAAAAATATGATAAATGAATGTGTGCAATGAAAAGTCTTGATCTTTGATATGTTTCCATATAAGAACAACTTTCATTTTTCAGGCTGAATGTGTTCTTATATAAATGGTACTTTATTTCCTAATATCAGGCCTGGGTGTTCTTAATCCACTTGTTCTTATACTTGGTTTTTACTGTACTTCCTTCTCCATTCAAAAGATAAACCCGCTTTAAGACTTTCTCATTGTTTGTTCATGATCTCGAGAAACAACAAAATTTCCCGAAAAGCTTAAAAGTAAACATTATAAAATGCTGATTCATGATTGTTATAAGAAGTTTAGAAATTTTATTGACGTTTTATTGACACCAAGCTCGTGTTGTAACATGTTCATCTTACACTCTTATCCGTACGTGGCAAGATCTTACATTGTCAAATGTTCTTACCTTGTCAGGACATCCGCGTGTACCATGATGTGCATATCTTCTGTCCCATATTTAATGCGAAGGGACTGACCTACAAAATAAGCTTCGATGTGTCGCAATTTAAACACGTTCGATGGGAAAACACAAAGAGGCTTATCTACGGTTCATTACTGTGCTTATCTAAGGACAAGTTTGAGACTATCATGCTAGCTACCGTGGAGAACCGGGAACTAGAGGAATTAAGGAGAGTATGTATTGTTGCGTCATTATATCATTATATATTTTAAAGATATTTATAATATGTTATTTACCGGCTGGGAGGTCCGTATAGGAAAACACTGCCCGAGGTCTTGACAGTACGGAACGAGCGCAGCGAGGTCCGTACATAAAAGACCGAGGGTAGTGTTTTCCTATATGGACCGACCTATAGCCGGTAAATAACTTTTTTTATGGTTTTTATTTGTATTTTATGCAACTTTGCTCGCAGCCCAGCTGCAGGATACTGTGGACCGGGTAGATCTTGAAAAACCGGACCGCGCGCTAGCCAATTACAGCGGGCGAATGACTAGGATACCGGACCGAAAAAAAATTTGGACTGCTTCCTAAAATAAGGCTTCTACAATATATGGATATAAATTACATCACGAAGCTACAATTCATTTTAATATGACAATCAACCTAAGAGCTTACCATTTTAAGCTTAGTGTACGGGTTATTGTATGGTTCTAATTTTCTAGATTTTTTAATTTTTTCGATGTTATTTTTAATTTTTCAATTTTTTAATGTAAATGTTTAATTGTTGTTTTTGATGGTTTAATTTTTTTCCAATTCATGCACTTTTTTTTCATTTTATCTAAAGTTTTATAAGTTTTTCTAACAGCAAATGTGTGGGATGAATGGTAGAGTGGCAAATTGGTCTATTTTTGAGCTTTATGTACCATTGGGTTAGGAAGAATGACTTTGTGTTTTGCTTTACTAAGAGCGCTTTCCATTTGTTAGAACTGGCTGGCCAGACCCAGAGAAAATGTCATTATATATCGTTCCCATTTATTAGGAGGAAATTCAAATTTTCAAATTCTATCTATTATTCTACAGAAAACCTCGAAATGGCTGAAAAATGTTGACAAAAAGCATTATATACCTCCATAGTTAATAGAGGGAGACTCTATTAACTATGATACCTCTAAATAGAGTGGACTGGCCGGCCAGTTCTGCCTAAATGGAAAGCACCCTAAGTATTTGTTCTGTTCTGTTCTTATATTGAAATAGGGAATAGTGGAAATCAAATTCACAGACACATGGCAAAGGATAGAACTCGACAACAGTTCGTACGAAGTTGTGGAAACAACTGCTTTCTTTGAAGCATATCGCTATGTATTGGAAGGACTTAAAGAGATCGATTCAGAAAGGATTCCCTTTCAGGTAACTTATAGTGGCGGGACAAGCTAAATGGTGCAGTTTTATATATTAACGA